CTCTGGAAGTTCTCTGTCAATGTATGATTGTAGCCGTTTCTATATTAACCTTTAGTAAAACTTTACTCACATATGAGATATCAAAGAGGTTGTCCGATGATTTCTGCATTCCATTGGGAATGAGGAAATCTATTTTGATTAATAGAGACCCTATACATGGTTTCTGAGAAGCAGCTGGTGAGTTTGAATTGCTGACTTTGAAGTTCAAACCAACCTTGCCTATCTGACAGCCATACCATATTAGTCATTCTATCAGAAATGACTTTTCAATTCAATAAGTAAATTCAATTGTTACCTTAGCCAACTAATCAAATTAGTGGTAAGAAAAAGACAAGTAAACAAATTATAAATGAAATATGATGGGAGAAAGTGAGCACAAAGGAAGTGATGGTACGTGATATCTATTTAACTTAACAAGTACACATGGATAATTATTCTGTCAAATATCACATGTTGTTTTTGCTAGGTGCAATTGAGTCCATTCTGACTCATAGTAAGCCCAGGTACAACAGAATGAAACATTGTCCAGCTCTGTACCATCCTCACAACTGTTGCTGGGCTTGAGCCCCTTTTGGCAGCCACTATATGAATGCATCTTGTTGTGGGTCTTCCCAGTTTTCGCTCACCCTCTCCTTTACCAAGCATGATGTCCTTTTCCAGGGACTGATCCCTCTTGATAACATGTCCAAAGTATGTACTATGAAGTCTCACGATCTAAGGACACACTGGCTACTTTTCCTCCAAGACAAGATCTATCTGTTCATTCTTCTGGGAGTAATGGTATATTCAGTATTTCTTTGTCTACACTGTAACTCAAATGCATCCATTCTTATTCATTCTTCCTTATTCACTAGATGTATTAAAGTATTTCTTGGAAGGCATTTTCTCATTATCTTTATGGGGAAATGATTAAATTCGATCACTTGTAACTTTACAAAATGCTCTCTTGACAATGACGCTTCTGCTGTTTCATTTTGCTTTAAGTCACCATGAAGACAGTAATGACATTCTTAAATTGTTATTACTGTTACTACTTTTGAGAACTATCAGAGACAGTGTACTTGTAGAATATATATTTTTTTCACCATAGAATTTTGTAACAATAATGACCTATTCATTGGAAATAATTTTTTAAAAGCAACATAATTGACAGCTATACATGTGGACAAAAGTGTATGGAATACACAGAAATCAAATCAACAGCATATATGGAAAAAGATGATGGAGAAGCTCAATATCATCAGTCAGAACAAGGTCATGGACTGACTATGGACCAGGATATCAATTGCTCATATGCAAGTAGAAGTTGAAACTGAAGAAAATTGAAGCACGCTCATGAGAGTTAAAACACAAACTTGACTATATCCCTCCTGAATCTCGACTAGATTTAATGTTTGAATACTGATGAGCAAAGACCAGGTGAATTATGGGATGATCAAGGATATCGTACATGAAGAAAGCAAAACCCACCACTGTTGAGTCTATTCAAACTCATAATGACCCTCTAGGACAGAGCAAAACTGCTTTATAGGGTTTCTGAGGCTGTAAATCTTTATGCAAGCATCTTTCTTTTAGGAGCCCTGCTTCACTGTTGTTTATAAAAGGTCACCAGTTTGAATCCATTATCTGCCTCATCTTTCTCCCACAGAGCAGCTGATGGATTCTAACTGGTGACCTTTTATAAACAACAGTTAAGCAGGGCTAAAAAATGCAAAAGGTCATTAAAAAGACAGCAAAGAAAGAAAAGACCAAAATGGATGTCAGAAGAGACTGAAATTTCCTCTTGAAGATAGAGTAGCTAAAGCAAATGGAAAAAATAATGAAGTGAAGGAGTACAATATTTGAAAGGGCAGCTTGAGAAGGCAGAGTAAAGTATTATAATGAAATGTGCAAAGACCTGGAATTAGAAAACTCAGAGGTAAGACTACATCAACATTTCTCTAGTTGAAAGAACTTGAAGAAAAAATCCAAATTTAAAGTTGAAATATTGAAGGATTTTATGAACAAAATATTTAACGATACAGAAAACATCAAAAGAAGATAGACCTACTTGACCTGGCTTCAATGACTGGATGATGAGAGCTCAACTAGAAGAAGAAAGAAGAGGAAAAAAAAAAGAGTAATCTGATACAATTTGATGGACTTGATCTACACCTATGGATGCAGTAGCTCAAAAGAGGGAACAAATCTTTATAGCAAGGATCATTCCCACCCCCTCCATACACAGAGTAGGCAGGGATGGGCAACTTGGACATTGGCTACCCAAAATGGGGGGGGTGCTTCAAAGGCAAGAAGTGATTGGCTTACAAGCTTTCAAGAGGGAGTCTAGATCCAGAGGGCGTGGAGGAAGGTCAAATCTCCACTGAGTAGTATCTAATCTGTCTATGTGGGGGCTGATGAAAGGAAATGCAGATGGGTCTCTTGTGATACAATAGTGAATAATTGTTATCAGGATTGATTGGGAGGGTTGGAAATGTAAAGGTAGATGTTTTGTAGCAAGGAGGGGAGTGATTAACTTTTCAGTCTAGGAGCGGAGGTCCCTAGGACTATCAATGGAGAAGAGCGGAGAGCGGGACCCTACCCAGAGAAGCAGTGATGCCTGAGACAGAGGCAGAGACAATGATGTGGAGAGATGGAGCGACTGGGGACTTTAGACACAGAGAGGGAGAGGGGCTGTGTGCTGACGACCAGGGGGGTGGTCAGGCTTGTAGGGTATACCCTTTGGTTGGTTGATGATGCATGGAGGGGATTGTAACAATGGCAATGAAATGATATCCGATAGAATGAATGTAAAACTAATGTTCTCCCATGTGAGCTATCACATAATTCACAATAAAACTTTTTTTTTTTTTTTTAAAGAAGAAGGTAGAAGGAATACAGAGGAACTATACAAAAAAATAGTTGGTAGATCTTCAACTAGTGGTACAGAAGAAAGAAGTTTAAGCAGCACTGAAGGCACTGACACAAAGCAAAGCTGCAAGAATTGATTGAATACTAACTGCAGTGT